CTTGAGCCCCCAACGAAGAAATGGATCACGTTTTCGACAACCAAGCCGTCGACATTGTTTGAAGTCGCCTCGGAGAGCAATTCCCCGCCGTTCCGTATGCCACCTCGTCGACCCCCGCTCTTGTAAGGCTCTGGATCATACGCCCCGACGACTTGCCGATTGTGTTGTCAGTAGCAACGTCACGGTCGGTAAAGCTCAAGACTCATTCAATGGTAGACTCCTCGCTGATTCCTACCAAGCACCTCAACTTGCCGACTGACTTTTACGCCGACCCCAAGCGCCTGAAGCAGCTCGCGGTATTTTTCCGTCCCGGCCACATCTTGCCTCGCTGTGGTGAATTGATCTACAAGACGCTACTTCGTGCCAACGCCATTCAATACCTGTTCAAGTTTCACGTTCCCCAGCCGACTTGTGTCTTTTGCGACTCGAACGAATCGTACCACCACTTTCTGTTCACTTGCTGGTACGGTACATCCGTGTGGCAGTACTTCAAGAAAATGCAGCAAGTGCTAGGGTGTCCATTCCCGCGCAACGAACTGGAACTGTCTTTCGAGCTCCCCAAGCCGCCGGATGGCTATTACGTCCGTTGGTATCTGAAGATCTGGCCCGTCGTCCGAGCGTGCGTTTAGTACCAAATTTGGCTCCAACCCGCCGATCGCACGTTCCGTCCCGACCTGCCTGCCACCCAAGACTCCATTGGAAACGGCAATCAACGCCGTCAGCCTCATCAAGATGCACTTGACGACTCTTCTCCGAGATTTACCTCTCAAGAAGGGCTACACAAAAGTCTTTAACGTCCTACGAGCGCTTTCCGACGATGCATGGTTGAAGGCGCATCTCGTCCCACCGGTGGTCAATACGTAACCGAAGTCCTGCGCCTTCCATGGCCGCACCGAATGAACCAACCACCTCAAGAACCCATTCCAAACCTATTTATCTGGTATGAGGGAATTAGTTAGTTCAACAGAGCCTTTGCTCGACAATAAGGTTTAAGAAACTCATATATAATCCAAGCTGGGGGAGGCTCGCAGTAGTCTACAGGACAGTCTGGGACCGCGCTGAAAACGACTCGGATCGCTTGATCGACGCGGCGCGCTCGAGATCGCGGAGTGATTGCAGCCGTAGCGCCTTTTCTCGAATCTTGTCATGACGTTCTTTCATACGAAGCATTCCAATGGCAACGATGCAGCCACAGTACAACATGGCCGACCCTGCAGAGAAGAAGAACGACAGACCGAACGTAACGCCGGCACCGATTTGGAGACTAGACTGCTGGACGAACCACATTGTGAGAGTCAACAGGTTGGCAACTAGTGACGCGAAGGCGAGGAGCTTGCTCAGTGCCAACAGACACGACTTGGTAGTGGTGGCACAGGTCCAAACCGCAAGGGCCACTCCCATGAGCGTGCCGAGGATGGCGGTTGAAATGGCAAGCGTGAGCGTCGATGGACCCAATGCGCCGCAGGTTCGATTGAGGAATTGATCGTTCAGCACCTCCTTTGGATACCCTCCACCAATATCGAGAGTGTGGCCTTCACTCGTTTGATTGTACAAGGCGCAGACGGACTGGAATGACAGCTCGTAGGGGAGGATGGGACGATGAGTTTGCAAACGGTCTCGTTCTTCATCGTAGATTGTACTGGGACCGGCGAAATACGAGGCGCACACAAGACCGTTCGAATGGTTTGTTTCGAGACAGAGACCGGCGACTCCAATGGATCGAATTGCGGACGACTTTCCAATGTCGTCATCGGCAACCAGCCATTGCTGAAGGAGGAGCTGTGTCCACGACAAACCGGCCGCGATGAAGCAGAGCAACAAGGTCGCTGCACCCTTGGTCGTGCAATGCATGCTGAGATTGCCTGGAAGAATAGCTGAAACGTCAGGACAACTCGCCCGTGGGCCGAGATATCACAGGGGCGTTGGGTGAATCTCCACTGGGGGTTTCAGATTCTGACCAATCCCCAATACGATCGGGATGTTTGTTCACCAATGAAAATGCTAGGAAATGGTGTTGAACGCATTCCAAATATCAGGCACATGCTCCTCACCACTTTCAAACTTTTCACGAGGAACGCACAGCACGAACCCCTGACCATGCCATGCAACGCGTCTGGTACTATCAGCCTTGCGTTGGCAGTGACCGCGCTGTCGCTGTCGTCGATTGCATTGGGCCTGCCCATGTGGTCGAGCTCGTCGCCCCTTCACGACGTGGCGAAGGACATCCCAGGCATGCTCCAGCACATCCGATTCACGGTGGGCGTGTGGGGCTACTGCATCAACGCTGACTTGACTCAAGAGTATAATCACATCACGCTGGACCAGTGTTTCAGCTTTTATTCCTCGCGCGACATTTCGAACGCCCTGCACATCAATGGGACTGCCGTTGCCGCGACGTTGAACAACGCTGCTGTTGACATGATCTCTACCCACGCCGCCATTTGCGATCTCCCTGACCTTGGCAGTGCTACGGCAACACTGACCCCACTGTCGCCGTCCGAGTATACCGGGTTCATCTCCAGGTCCTGTGGGTCGTTAGGCAAGGTGACACTTGCATTTGCTGCGCTCAGCACTGCATTCGGCGCTCTGACCTTGCTCTTCCTGGTCTTGTTCATCACATGCTGCACGACCATGCTCTGCATTGCCAGTTTTTCGAAATGTTTTGCCCTGCTGTCGATTGCTTCCAGTGTCGTGGCGCTTGTGGGCTGGATCACCCAAGCGAAGGACTTGACGTCGGCCTCCCTTGGAGTTAGCTTTGCTTTTGAAGTTGCCGCAGCAGTGTTGTACGTGCTCACGTTTGTCGCTATCGTGTATCATGAAAAGAACGGCAAATCGTCCGTTGATACTGAAGGCAAGATCGGCGATCCCAGCCCATAAGCGATGAATTGCGATTTAATCTCGATCCCAGCCCATAAGCGGTGCATTGCGATTTAATCTCCAAATCACACCTTTTTCAACTCTTGAACTAAATTGCCACATCGCCTAGCATGATACCGTATTCGAACATCCTGCTGATTCGAATCCATGCGAGGCACATCAAATGCGCCAACACGAGCGTCCCAGCAGTCGATCTTTTGGGATGATGGCTCTGAAGTGCGAGCCAGAGGCGTGGCACAGCAATCAATTGAAGATCTCAACATCCGGATAATCTATGCGGTTGAACGTCATGGTTGCACATGTAATTGCGAATCTTGACCTTACTTTCTCCATGGCCTGCTCAACGACGGGCGTTGTCGCCGTCCTCGTGATGGCAGCGGCGCTAATCTTCTCGACGCTGTCCCTTCTTGCTCCAAATTGGTCCATGAGCGAGTCTCCAATGTACCCACTGACTGACGTCAAGTTCTCGACGGGTGTCTGGGGATACTGTGTGAATGCCGAGTACAATACTGGATCGAACTTGTCGAGCCACGCCGTCGACACGTGCTTCTCCTTTTACTCTGCAGGTCGCATTGCGCTCAACAGAACAATGAATTCCCCGCATATTCGCCGGCACAGTGACACCGCTGCTCGACAGTCCGTGTGCGATGTATTGCGATCGTCCACTGATCCAGTCGATGAAAACCTCACCTCCTTCGTGTCCGTAACTGGTATCGACGCTGCAGCATTCCGCTCGTTCCTTGTGTTGTCATGCGGCAGCGTTGGGAAGAGTTCGCTAGCGCTGTCACTAATGTCTGTCTTCTTCGGCATCGTGGCGTTGTTCGGGTCGATTGGGCTCGTGGTGTGCTGCCCGCTCAAGTCGTGTCTGGTCAGTTTTACCAAAGCAGCTTCGCTGGGCGCGTCGTTGTGCAGTTTAGTTGCATTCTCGTGCTGGCTTGCTCAAGCGAGTCCTCTGAACAAGGTCGGCGTGCACCCAGGAAGCTGCTTCGTCGTCGAGATCCTTGCGTGCGTGACATTTCTCGGCGCGAACGTGGCCCTGAACCACCACGCAATAAGCCATAGCTTGGTGCCCAAGTCAGTCGAGTGATGTTGCCATTTTTATCTCATGTGTTTTTCCCATTCGGCTCAAATTCCACTCAGTAGTGATACGCCATTCACTTGATCGCTTGATACCACAAAACTGCCCCATCTACTGGCTATCGTCGTCAGCATCGCCGGACAACGGACCGGCTGGAACGTTGACTTCGTCCACAACATCATGCACCTTTGCCGTCGTCGATCGAGTCATGTACAATCGTGTCGTGTTGAAAAGCGCCGACATCGGCAATTGGGTCGATTTAAACCTCGAAGCCGTCCATCTCACTACTGTCGGTTGGGTCCACACCGTCGGGAAAAGGATCGACTTGAACGTCGCCATCTTTTCCAACTAGGACTTGCTTCTCATCGTCGTCTTCATTGTCGAATGTTGGGTCCCCTTGAAAGCCGTCATCAACGATGGCATCAATCTCTGCATCGCCATCCATGGGCTCAAACTCCGAGGTAACTACTTGATCAGTCTGGGCCGTCGGGGTGCTCTCAAGTACAGCGCCACTGTTGAAGAGATCGTCTTCCTCGTTGTCCGCATCATTGACTTGTTTTTCGAGCCCAACGAAGGTGTCGTTCTCGTCGAGTAGAGTGTCTAAGTCGCTTTCACCCCCAGCGACTGGCACTTGCGCTGCACTGATCAGTGTGGAGTCCACAAGGTCCTCGATCTCCTCTCCATCAACTTCGTTCCCAACGAAGGCGTCTTCGGCGCGTTCCTCCGCCGCGCTGCCGTCAATCCTGCTGTCCACAGCGTCGACGTTCACGACATCATCAGCGAGAGACGAATCAACATCTGCGCCCTGGTGTTCATTGAGCACATGAAAGTTGCTCCAGGGGACACCCCCATCTTCGTCGTCGACGGGGGCGGATGCGACAGACCTGACGTCCAACGGACTCTTGACATTCGCTATCTACATGTTTCCCGCGTGAGTGGTCCCACAAAATGCTAAAACTTGCGCACCTGGTTTCGGAGGTATCGGGCGGCTGCTAGATGAGCTGCACAGAATACGAGGATGGAATAGCACGACGACTTCATCGCTGGCCAGAGTGGAAATGGAGTCGCTTCCACACAGCTCGACACCTCACGATACTTTCGAAAATCGAGTGTTTTTGAACGCTCATGGCCGTCAAGGATGGCTCGCGTCGAATATTAGATGGTTAGCGTCTTGACTGCGTCACGGACGTGGGCGACCATTCGCCAGTGTCACGCTGTTCCGTGGCGTAGTATTCGCTTTGTGAAATCTTTGTTGCAACCAAAGTCTTCGATGGCTATGACGATGACTAGTCCCCAATTCTTCACACAAAAACGACTGTATTATGCCAACGACCTAACGATAGCAGACCTTTGCACAAAGTTCACTTGGCAAGTGCGCCTTGGACGTTCTCGTGTTAGTCGAATTCTTGGCCCAACCGCAGAGCCAACAACGTATCATTGTACTGGTTGAACGCATCTTGAATGTCGTCTTGCAGTTGCATGGCCAAAGGCACCAGTTCCATGTTGACACCTGCGCCAATTTGTGCTGACGCTGCAACACGCGGCTGCAGCACCTTGACAGCGTGGATCATCTCCTGCAAAGCACCATCCGTACGGATGTCCCCTTGCGCGTAAATGATCTTTTCGAGCAAGCTATGGACCAGTTCTTCGACTTCGTGGATTTCACTGTCGTTGAGTGGCTCAGCATCAGCGGCATGGGCCAAAGCCTCACGCTCCTCTTCTTCCCATTGCTTGCGCGCTTCCGCGAAGGCTTCTCGCTCGCAAATGTCATTCGTGCGCAGCGTGAGCTGCAAGAAACGATCCATATGTACGTTCAACAACGCATCGGGCATTTGAGTCAGCACTTGAGTCATGTACCGATTCAGTTCCTTTTCACGCTTCGTGATGAACTTTTCTTCCTGGTTCTTTCCAATCAACGACGAAAACGGATGGCGTTTGGGGAAACGAGGGAACCAAGGGGCTCGTTTGCCCTTTTGGCCGGACGCGGCTGCTTTCAATTCTTGATGGAGCGCGTTGAAATCGTTGTAGCGACCACCTACCAGCCAGGCAGTCTTGGATTGCTCGAGAATGTCTCGGCCCCATGTGACCCGCAAAACGTATTCGGTGTACTCGTCGCCCCAGTTTTCATCTTGCAACTTGCGGTGCCCCAACAAAGTGCATGTGAATATTCCACCCTTGTACGGGATCGGTGGTCCCGTCGGGAATTCTTGCATACGTTCCACAGGGTTGCGCAGGTCGTCGTCATCGGCACTGATAAGTGGGCCTTGAATTTGAGCGCCTTCTTCACCAAACAGGTCCACGCCAGCTTGGTGCAACTCATCGGCTGTCAACCCGTTGCCAGTAGTTCCTTCGCTAAAGGCGGGGGTGTCTTTAGGCATCCAGCTCATGTCTGGCTCGACCAAACTCTCTTGCTTGTCGATCAAAGCGCCTGCAACACCCTGCGATCCGAGGGCTCCCATTGCCCCTGCTTCACCAGCCACCCCATGAGCGACTCCGGCGGTACCTAAGACGCCGATACTGGCAGGTACGGCGCCAATAGTAGCCATTCGGGACGCTTCCAACGAGTCCAACTTGCGGAGAGCAGCAGCTTCAGCTTCATGAGCCTTCGATGCCAACTCCGCAGCTCGGGCAGCTTCTTCCGCCGCCAACGACGCGGCCAATGCAGCAGATTGGGCATACGCGACAGCCGCCACTCGACTCGCTTCATCACGACCGACTTTTCCACGATAGGCGGCTTGAATCTTGACAGCAGACTGGTGTTGGAGCTGCTGCTGACGAATTCGTTCCGCGTCCAAGCGTTGCAGGCGCAAAATTTCTTCTTCACGAGCACGTTGCTCAGCCTTTTCGGCGACCAAACGACTGTTGTGGATTTTAACAAAGCGCGAAACAAACAAGCGCTGAGCGGTCACGGCAATGAAAGCCGCATGCCAGCGTCTCTTTGCTGTTTTCTTGCTGGCTTCAAGGCGTGCGTCAGCTTCCTTCTTCAAGCGCAAGCGCAATGCAGCTTCTTGCGCCGCTCGGCGCAACTTTTCGGCTTCTCGTCGAGCCAATTTTCCTCGTGCAATGGTCTGAATAATGCTGTGAGTCGACTTCCCTATACTAATCAGAATCATACCTGGAGCACGGTGGCAGCGCGATTAATTCGGGCGAGTTCGGCCTGCAGCTTGGTCCGACTGGTAATAAACAAGCTGTTCAATGCATTTCGTCCGCGCACCACAGCAATGGCTTTCTTCCATCGGTGGATGGCGACTTCCTTTCGTTTCGCTTCCTCCCTACGACGGAACAATTGAGTACGGTGAAATTGTTCAGAGAATACTAATATTGACGATGAGACGCACCTCTTGTACGCTCGGGCGACAAGGAATTGCTTGCGAACGTTGTACATGCGGACAACGGACTGGAGCTTAATGATAGCCGCCTTGCGGTGGCGAACGTAGTCCAGTAGCCACAGGAAGGCGCGTTGGGCCATAACTTTGGCCGTGGCATATCGCCAACGACGGCGCGCGAGCCACTTCTTGAGGCGGGCGACAATCCACGGTCCCATTTTCTTCATATCTACCTTTAGTAAGGCGTCCAAAAGAGCAATCTTGCCAGTCTTAAAAAACACCCGGGTGCGACCGAGTCGGTACGCATCGGGGTCAACGCGGAACGCCCACAACACGGCTTCAGTGAAGGTTCGGTCATTGTAGCATTGAAACATGGGTGTGACGTTGGGCGGCAATACTGGCTTGTAAATACGACAAATTTCTTCGTACGACACGCGTGTGGGCAGACCGACTTTGAGGAGTTCGCAGGTCGCGAGCATCCCAGTGCAACGTAGTTGGTCCACAACATACCCATTGTCGAATGTCCCCAACGTCATGGTAGGATTGGGTTTCACGCATCGAATAAAGTTGCATCGTGTGGCGTTTAGTGTGTCGACAAGCGATTGCATTTGGTCACAGAACTTCAGCGACACACTCGGCTTCTTAAATGCCGCGACACCGACGTCGTCAACACCGGACTTGTAAATCTGTGCCATGAGCACGGATGTCGACGACAGCACCAAATCTTCGAGGTCTTTCGGGATTGTGTCGTTGTTTTTGTCGATAAAGTTGCCCACTGTGTACGTCACCATCGTGGCAAAGTGCTTGATGATGAAGACAAACTTTTTGTCTTTTTCGTGGGGTGCCAAAAAGTGGGCGTGGCCCACATGGGTCTTGTGTAGCGTCGTGTTCCACTTTTCGTCGGAGGGCTTTTGCGTGCGCGACTCGGAGTCCAAAAGCGGCAATACACCGTTCGGTTTCGACGAGATCAACTCGATACAGTCTCGGTTGTCGGGCCAGGCGATTTTGCCAACGTCGATTCCTTCTTGGGTAAAGAGCTCCTGTTCAGCAATGAACACTTGCTGGTTGAACGTGGCCTGCAACGCTTCGTTGGCGTAGTTGATCAAAAGCTGCTCAAAATCGTTGTGGTCGAAAGATTCAAATCCAAAGATATCGAGAACCCCAATGAACGAGAGGTCTGGCGGGCCGTGACCGAGCGAAACGTTGATGTGATTCACGATCCAGTCGAACAAGTGCTGGTAGATCGACTTTACGATCGCATCGCGCACGTACATGCCTTCTTTTGCATTGCGCTTGATGACAAAGTTTTCGCCGCGGGTGTTGATTTCACGTGTCGTGATCACACGCTCCAAGTAAGCAACGTCCACGCCTAAGTGCTTGGCGGCGGTGCGGAGCGCCCCCGCTGTTTCCTTGGTGATGTCGCCTGCGTCGCCTTCGGATGTTTCGCGATTCTTGAGTACTACGTTGCCGAAATGAAGCAGACCGGACAACACTGTCCACACATGCAACTGCATAGCGGCATCGACTCCAACAGACTTCAGCGCACTGCACACATCATCAAACAAGAGCTCGTCGTCGATGTTCGGGTCAGAAACGCATCCGCTTTGGTTCAGGTACAAGTAACTCGTCGGCGCCGATAGTTGCAATTGATTCGAAAGTTCGTCGGACGCCCCGGCCAAGAGGTAGTAAAAGATGTGGAAGTTGCGCTCGTTCGGGATTTGTGCTACGACGCGAAATTTCTCGAGCAAGTACGTCTCAATGTACGCGCCAACGAGGTGCAATCCAGTTTTTCCCATGTCTTGGAATTGCAGCTTCATGAACTTGCCAAATCGACTCGAGTTGTGGTTGCGCAGCGTCTTGGCGTTCCCAAATGCCTCCAAGATCGGGTTTGTATCCCAAAGGCGCCGATCGAGCTCTTGCGACGAGATTTTGGCCATCGTGACAACCGAATTCTCTTTGCTCCCGTTGATGATGTGTTCACGGGTGGTGATGTAGCGCAACACGATTTTGGATGTTTCTGTTTTCCCAGCTCCGGATTCGCCAGAAATGACAATGGACTGGTCCTGCGATGGGGATCGAAGTGCCATTTGCTGGAACGCGACTTCTGCAACGGCGTACGGATGCGGGGGACGGTCACCCATTTGTGTCTTTACGTAGTCCTTGATGTTGGGCTCAACAACCTTGCGCAATGGGTTAACTGCAATGAGGACGTTTGCCATGAACGTGTACGGGCGTTGATTGTCCAAGCGACTGCGAATGTTCAAGTTTTCCAAGATACCGGCTTCATGGATGTAGTACAGCGATGTCATGTCGTCGACAACACGAGGATTGACACGGTAGATGTCGCCAATGTCACGCATATCGACTTTTTCTTCTCCTCGGTGTCCCACAACCGTCAAGATCATACCTCGTTCTTCCCCGTGGACCTTGGTCACTTGCACCACGCGCCAAACAGTTTCCGAGTCCGGGACCCAAATTTGAGATCCAACTTCGACTGGCTCCGTCGTCAGCATCCGCTCCACTTCGATCGTGTTGCGCCGACGTGTCTTGTCCAACGCGCGCTTTTTGTTCTCCAAGACCAAGCGCTGGTTGATGCTGAGGCTGTTCATATCGACGGGTGCCGCCGGAGCACGGGGCTGGAACCGATCGTGTGTCGGCAGTTCGCTTGCCGACTTCAACCGAGACATCGGCGACCGTCCTTTCCGCCGCTAAATGCAAAATGCTCTCGGCGTCGAATGCTGACCCCACGGCGTTGATATTTAAAAAAGATACTGCAAGTTCTATGGATATCTCTTCCCGTTTGATTTAAATACGTTTGGAATGTTGGTCGTTGGCGCCGCTCCCGCCAAGTTACGTTACGCGTTACTCCTCTGGATGTCTTCACGCACGGACCTTGCCGTGAGACTCCTCCTGCACGTGGAGGGGGATGCGTTCTCCGTCGTCGAGCAACGGTTGCTGAAGGACTTCGAGGGGACCATGCGCGCGCTGGGACACATGGTGGATCGACACCATCATGTTGACCAACCTCTACCCTCTCGGATTGTTTGGATTGTCCACGACGTGAACGATCGTGGTGCAGAGACTGACACCATTGAACGCGTGGCAACATATACACGTCTCCGGAGCTTGTGCGCGTGCATCGACTTGGCGTATATTCATGGCGACTTCCCCCACGTGCAGGTCCGTCTTTACTCCATGTAGATTTTCGCGCTTACGTGGCAATCCTTGCGCGTACACGTAGGACACGTACGACCGACTTCTTGAATTAACATGGCACGAGAGTGCGTACTGCTTTGCAGTGCCGCAAGGCGACGTTCAACTGCTTGCTAAGGTTAAAATTCGTAACAAGCATGCACGAATGCTCGATTCAACGTCCTCCATTATCGTAGGTTTTTGCTACACTGCTCTCCGATCCTGCTCAACGAAGATTGCCTCAGGAGGAAGCCGAACAACTCATGCGCATATTCTGAAGGGGCCAATCCATCGTATTCATGGAAAGGTTTACTTTTTGGCCCTGTTGGCCGCGGCAGTCTCGGCCTTCCGCTTGAGCGTGCCTTTCAAGACTGGCAGGATGGGCGGAGCATCGTAGCGTTCGCCAAATCGTATCCGCTCGGCACCCTCAAAGCTGTCCTTCTTGGTAGACCCTGTTTCTTGAAACTCAAGCTCGTATCGCTCTTGTTCTGTCATCCTTTTTCGTCGGCCCTTTTCCTTCTTGGACTCCAAAAACGATTTGCGCTTTATCGTCGTCCTCTGCGTCTTCTTGGTCTCTTGGGCAAGCACGCGCTTCACCTCCGTTCCCATACGGTGGTTGAAGGCACGCATGGTCTCTCCAGGGCGACGGCCCTCCACGTTCGCCAGTGCGCCGCGGTTCTTCTTCTTGCCGCCGCCACTTTCCGTCGTGGACGTACCACCAAGCACGAAACGATCGATTGCCGCTTGGTCCACTTCCTTGTTGAGCTTTTTCTTCTTTCGTTTCGACAGAGTCGGCGCTAAGTCATACTTGGATTCGTCGGCGCCGGCCGTCTTTTTGCCCTTGAAGAATGGATCGCACTGCTTGAGCTTGCGCTTGCTGGCCAGTCGTCCCATGCTGCCGCGACTTTGATAACCACCTAATCTTAAAATATTAAATAATTACAATCTGAAGTACTGTTCCTCACATAGCACGTTTTGCATTATAGCAAATATTCATTTTAACAGGTTTTATGAATTACATTATTTAGAGGCATACACTATTTCGTTGTGGCGAGTCCCGCAGCGCAGAGTGCACCCCACGAGGCGGTGTTACACATATGAGCGGCGAAGTGGGCGTGGCGGACACTGAAGCTGCGGCACAAGATGCGTGGGAGAAAGAGATGGAAATGCTTTTGGATCAGAGAGACAGCCGCTCCCGCAGCCGGTCGTTCATTGAAATGCACTCGACTCCCTTACAGCAGCAGCCAGACTCGTTACCGCGAGCCCAATCGATGGAATCTATTGGGCTTTGGGCAGCGACGTGTGGCTCCTCGCGCGTAGTAAATGAAGATTCGAGCGGTGGCGATGGATGTTCAATCAACTCTGACGGGGACATTGCAAGGCAAGCGGCGATATCGACCAAGTTGTACTTGGCAGGGTCAGCTCCTGTTGACTTGGACGCGATCGCATTGATGCAAGACGGCCTGCATGGATCAGGGAGCAGTCGCGCTGCACTGGGGCAACACATAGAAGCGGGACCGTTGAGTGCGAAGGCGTTGGATATCTTATCCCAAGGTTTGGCCATGAGAGCCGACGACTCGACCGAGCGACGGAGTATGACCGAAGAAGAGCTGGAGGAGAAAAAAATGGCGGAAGAAGAAGCCATCAAGCTGCAACAAGAGCGCGAAATTATCGTTGATGACTCTAGCGTCGAAGTAGTTACAGCCCCTGCATCGTCTGCGCCACGCGGCAAGAAGAAGGGCCCACTAGGAAAAGCGTTATCCGGCTTCAAGACTAAAATGTTTGGGAAACGACCGACGGGGTCTCCAGAGCAGTCGTCGTCGAACCGAAGCTCGATCACAGCGGCGATCGGGACGTCCAGACCATCCGGGACTCTGGCGCACCGCCGGGCATCGTCCTCTGCGATGCCAGAGTACACCGGCCGGGGGGACTCAGACCAAGTGCGGCGCAAGCCTTACAAAGTCAAACTTCTCTTGCTAGGAGACAGTGGAGTCGGGAAGACTAGTCTCATGCGCGTGTTTTCGGGCGACGAGTTTTCAGAGTCAATGCTCGCCACCGCAGGGTATGTCACGTACGATGCCGGTTGTGTAACAAATGGATGGTTAGGGTCGACTTCAAGGTGCGCAACCTGACGCTCGAAGACGACTACGATGTCGCGCTGCAGATCTGGGACACTGCTGGGCAAGAGCGATTCCATCGCATTACGTCCAGTGAGTGAGAATTCCAGTCGGGAACGGACCTAATCGATGGTCGCTTATGTAGCATACTACAAAGGGGCGAACGGCATCATCCTTGTGTACGACGTCAGCGACAAGCGCGGCTTTGACAGTACGTGGAAACAATGTTGGCATTTCAAAAGCGATTGATGGGGATGCTGCAGATGTTGGCTACTGGATGAAGAACATTCAAGAGCACTCGCCGGCACACATGCCAGCCATGTTGCTCGTCGGGAATAAGATTGATCTGGCGACACGAGTCATCTTCACAGAGCAGGGGCAGGCGGCGGCAGACGCGTATCATTGCCGCTACATGGGTATGGAAGTCCCACCTTGTTCTTGAGCAAGGTCTCATCACGATGGATTAGAAACCAGTGCGAAAACTTGTGAAAACACTTCGAAAGCCCTCGAAACCATCGCACGGGACGCCTTGATCATGACAGTCAACAGTACGCCCATATCCCCTGTGTCTGTCTTGGATGTCTATATTCATGGCGTGCAATAGCGTCGATGACGCAAAGGGTACTGCTGGAGCGCGAACATCGCGCCAACGGCCCACTCGACAAAGAGAACTGCACGATCTCGTGAAGATCAGCACCTGTGCCACCCCACACACTTTGCCTGTGTCCCAAACCACTCACAACACCCCAGTTGTACAACCTACTATGTAATGACGACGACTTCTTGGCGACGGAACTCTCGCCTTAATAAAAAATATGCCTCTCATTCCGTCACTCGACTGGTGCCCCTGTTAGGGTGAAGCACACCCACGCGGTCCCAGCTAATGCGACAAACAGACCCACACCCAACTCGACTGCATACGGAAGCTCCATGTGGAGGCGGCCGATGTAGTACGATTTGAAATGTTCCGACCCAGAGAACTACGTGGACTCAAGTAAGCGTTCGGTGAAACAATAGATGTATGGATGTACCGTGTAAATGCGAAGAAACGTGGCCACCGCCGCCGACAAGATTGTAGAAAGAGCCCATGCAGAGACCAACGATTGACCAGAGAAAGACGTGACGAAGGTGCACCCAGCGGCGAGGACCCACGGCACCAGGCCAAAGCAGACTGTACCAACACTTGTCGATGCGCCTTTCAAAATGCGTGGGGAATCTCATCCATGCGATGCATGGAATCAGCTCTTACCTACGGCGGCAGAACTGACGGTTGTGTCCGGTGGGAAGAGGTGTAATTCCTCAATCATCATGGTGTCGACAAAAAAGTTCTACAGATCATCAGGACTGCAAGGACATTTGCCAGCTCACCTCGTATGTCGCCATCAAGTCGATGACGGTTCGTGCGTCCTTCATAGTCATACCTCTTGCCGTGTACAGTTCGATCATCTCGTCCTTTTCGCCCTGGGGAAAGTTATCGAGCTCCCTAGCCAATACAAGCACCATGATATCACAAGATAAATCGAGCGGCGCAACGATCATGACGTACCACATTTCACGTCGGCGTTCGCGCTCGTACTCGAATTTTTGCTCTTCATTGCGGCGGTAGGCCAATACACCAGCAAATATCGCCGTTGAAAGGGTGCTTGCCAAGGCCTACGACGGATCGACATGTTTGGAATCACGAAGAACAGCATGTGTATATACCAAGCGCGCGGACGTTTTCAACAGTACTGCGGGGCCTAAAGCTGTCCCATATAATACACTCAGCAGGAGCATGTTGAAACCGATTGCTGACACTCCTGCATCGGCCACGATTTTGATCATCGAGTTCTTCATCGAGTTGACCGCGTGACCTGGCTCGTTTAAGCTTCCTTCGGCTTTGTTACATTTGCAGTTCTTGTGAGCAGCTATCGAGGCAGTCGAGTCATGCTTCTTGTATGCGTTTCTATTCGTCAGTTCATGGCAAAGTCACATGGTGTCGTCAAAGCTCCACCGCTATTCCATCCTTACCTTGCTGCGGCAAGATCACGGGCAATCTCAACGGCAGTTCGTGCATTGGCGGGCGTCTGCGTGAACAAACCTCCCTCGGTCTGGGATCGACGGAGCATTGTTCGGGGTCCGTCGAGGCGCGGAGTGTTGGAATCTGGTATGCGGATCCGGATAAACTCTCCTTGGACAGCCAATGAATTCGCTCGATTGTGATTGCGCAAGTATTCTCCGGATATATCCGGATGGCTCTTGCTGCGCAATTCGATTTGGCGCTAGCGCCTTCCGCATTTTCAAACTTCTCACAAGATCTCAATGAGTCACTCTCGATACAAGATCGCGGTGCTACCGGGGGACGGCATTGGGCCGGAAGTATGTGAAGAAGCTGTCCGTGTGTTGAGGCTGGTTGGTTCCCTCTTTCAACACAAGTTCGAGTTTACGCATGCGCTATGCGGAGGGGCCGCGTACGAAGTACACAACAATCACTTGCCCCAGAGTACTGTGGACCTAGTCAGGGCCAGCGATGCCGTGTTATTCGGCTCTGTCGGCGGACCAATTGATGCTCAAGAAACACCGAAGGTACGATTATTTTGCATGACGATCAAGCTCGATGACAGCGACTTTATGTAGTGGAAGGATGCGGAAAAGAATTGCATCTTAGGCCTTCGAAAGCATTTCAATCTGGCCGTGAACATCCGCCCAGGTAAATCAACGTACGATCTATGCATTTCTTTACTAATCCGAACGCGTAGCCAAGATTTACTCTATGCTACCAGACTTGTCGCCGTTGAAACGGAGCATTGTTGCAGCTGGAGTCGACATGGTGATTGTACGCGAGTTGGTGTCTGGTATTTACTTTGGCGAACACTCGACGGAGAACGGCGTTGCCCGTGATGTAATGAAGTACACGGAAGATGAAATTCGGGTCCCCATGAAGTTTGCTTTTGAGACTGCGCTCAACGTAACACTTCCTCCTCAACCATTCAAACGAATACAATTGACGTATGCATCAAATGTCCACTGTAGCGCACCAAAAAGCTGACAGTTGTCGATAAAGCCAATGTCCTGGACTGCAGTCGACTGTGGCGCAAAGTGGCGAAAGAAGTTGCTGTGGACTACCCGACCGTGTTTGTTGAATTTGTGTACGTACTCAACGTTCAAGTGAATTGTTGCAGCTGTCGAGTTTGGGACTGACCCTCACATTAGATACATCGACAACGCTGTGATGCAGTTGATCAAAAACCCATCCCAGTATGACGTGATTGTCACTGGCAACATGTTTGGCGACATTTTGTCCGATGCGGCGTCAGTCCTTCCTGGCTCGTTGGGCCTCATGCCATCCGCCAGTCTTGGTAGATGTCTCACCATTTCCATGAAGACAAGTTGCCTCACAGGGTTTGAATGCTTAGGCGACAAGATTCACTTGTTTGAGCCCATCGGTGGGTCAGCACCTGATATTGCTGGGCAAGGCATTGCGAATCCTATAGCCCAGATCCTGTCGGGGGCTCTGTTGCTGCGTTACTCCTTCCATGTACGTGTCCATCACCCCTTCCAGAAGAATGAGCAAATATGTTGAGGCAACGCTCTCACTCGTGAGTAGATGGAAATGGAAGCAGCCTTGATTGAACAGGCCGTCAATAACGTACTCGATCACGGTGTTCGCACGGGGGACTTGACGCCCAATCGGTCCGAAAAAACAGTCGGGACCAAGGGCATGGGAGATGCCATCGTCGCGGAAATCGAAGCTCTGTATAGTAAATCGTCGTAGACGTCACGTAAACCACCAAATTCCAATGTTACAAGTTCGTTTACTGCAGTAAACGCAGCCGGTCCATGTAATAGTTTTTGTGGTCAGAGTCCATGTCGATCAGCGCCGTGTAAATGTCACGGCATCGAGCAGTGTGGACACGTTCAAAGCCGCCGCACTTACTGCTGGTCTCCAACACCAGCGCAAGTGTTACCTAGGAAATGCATGAACCACTCGAATCATGAATGTAGCCGAAATGGTACCCATGCAAACTTGGCCTTCGGCTCTTCCTGAATCAGTTGTTCAATCCACTCGATTTCATTCTGCCACACGGCCGCGTCATTCGGGATAGATTTGATGAGCCAACGGTAGTAAAACCAGTTGCTTTGGTCATAGGGCTCGGTGAACACGGCTTGCTTGACCATCTCAACTTCCTCAAGGAGAACATCCAGAGGAAGCGGCGTCGGTAGAGACAGCGTACGTTGATGCAACGCCGAGTAGTTGGAGAAGTTCTGCGCCACCTTTCGCGTGGAAAACTCAAGCAGGTCGTCGTTGGCGTGTTCTTCACCGGATGCCTTGAGCTTGGACAGATACCGTCGGTAGTTCCAGCAATGGAAGTTTCGCTCGTCCTTGTTCAACAGCGCATCGCACAGACGCACCTCCTTCTCGACAACCGCCATACCGTTGTCCACGATCCACTGTCGCTGGAACCACGCAGAGTAGCTCTTGGGATTTTTCATCAGCGCTTCCATAGTCAATTTGCACTCAGCTTCTGCAAGCTCCTTCTTGCGACTATCATCAGTCCTCAAGAGATGGCGAATGGTGTCACGGCGGAACGCCCACACGATCCAGAACTCGGGATTCAGTACGACTACTAACGCCGACAGCTTGAGTCCGTGGTCATCAAACTGCTGTGCCTTCTTGAGTACCATCACCTGCGCAGATACTTCCTTGTACTTACGGACATGCTCCGCAATCTTGATTTCCTCTTCCGGTGTCTTCGCGATGTCCGACTTACGGATGCCGTGCATGGTATTGAACACTGTATTTGGAGTGAATCCCCATGTAAGAGTCCTCGTAAACAGGATATTTCATTTATCGAAATATCAAAAATCCTTCCTTCAAATTTTGTCATTTTCTCATCGACTAGAAATTTTTCCAGGTACATATTAATATATGCAATTTTTTGTGAACTGGTGAAATATATAGCAGCATACGACTTCGACGTAAGGACAAATTCTAATCCGTAGTGATTCGAAGCAACTAGCAATGCTGTCATCGCATGCGCGCTTGATCGCCCGGCAAAGCACCAAGGACGATGCGCTGTCACGGGAAGACTACCTCAGACAGGTTATGGCGGAATGCACTCACCCATCGACACCACTCAAAGCTAAAGAGCAATGCTTGGCACACCTGGCGAACTTCAGCTACGACCCGATCAACTTTGCGTACTTTCAGCGGTTGAACGTGGTGGATATGTTCGTCGACTTTATTGACGAGGTCCTTTCCGTTGCCGTTCAAGTCCAACCCCCTTCGAGCAAACGATCAACTCACTATCTTCATGCTGTCACAGTCGCTCGACTGGCAACTCAAGGCATATGCAATGTTGCCCCGGACCCGCGCTTCCAAAAAATCCTAGTCGAAAACGATGCGATCCCCCTCATCCTGCAAGCGACCCACGCGCCGGACCAAACCACAAGCTCTGCCGCCCTGTCTACATTGTACTTTTTGCTTGACTCACCTTCCAACTTGGTTCCTGCTGCGTCAGTGCGGTACAACGAAGACATCCTAACGCGTGTGAAACAATGCAGCCTCCACGACGATACTGTCATTCGCAATGTTGCTGTCGCGTTCTTGGCCTATAGAGATGAGTTGGAGTCTGATTGTAAGAAGTGAACACGTCCTCGATGGGTGAGGGATCCAAATCACTACTATAAACAGCGTAACTCTATTCTTGCAGGTCGGGCAAGTCCTCGTCGTCGCTGTCTTCTTCGTCGGGGAGGTTTGCACCTTGCTGGGCCATCATTTGGTTGATGTCGAATCCTCCACCACCGCTCAGGGCACTCATGTCAAAGCCATTGTCGTCTCCTTCGTCGTCTTCATCAACATATTTGTTCCAGTCGACTTTGACGTTCGTCTTTTCCAAGTGCTTGTCCTTGAGCAAGTGCGGCCAGAAGTCAGCATCCTTGTCCTTCTTCAAAATGAAGAAATGAATGTTGCGATCGGCTTTGGCCCACTTGCTTTCCGGGGCGTCTGTGTCGACTTCGTGCAAAAATTCCAAATTGACTTCGTACTTCGTTTGGTTGCTCGTGCCGGAAAACTTCAAGCTCGTGTTGGTCAAGACCACCTTTTCGTCCTTCACGTCAGGCAGGTCCACGGTCAAGTAGAGCGAATCCTTGCGTTGGGCCCACTTGACAGGTGCCACCAGAGCTCGTTGCGCCATGATCTCGTTGCGTGTCTGTGGGGGCGGATTTGAAAGTGATCAACCAGCCAGCACAAGCCCACAGTATTTTCGAGAAAAGAACCAAATTCGAAGCCCAATTTTCAACCAATCAGCGATCGCCACCGTTTCGTATCCGGTTCCGGATAATTCCACGTGGAGAATGCTGGTGTACATATGTGTGCACCCGCTCGTCTCAGCGCGCTCAAACACAGGACGGGCTGACGTCTACAGATGCAGCACGATTGGAGACGTGGAGAAGGCTTGAATGGATTATTGGAACCATGCTCAATATGAAGACCCCTGTGGACAATGATGAGACGAGATGGACGGAACTGTGTTGCAAGTCGCGGCTCGCTGATTAAAATCCGTCGTCCTCGCCACTTTCGTCGCCGCCAGAAAAGTACTCTACACCAACACCGCAATCGTTAGATGGTCAAGAGGTTTCATGGGAGCGTACGAGACATTGTACCTAGTTCTTCCTCGGATGGAATGTCGTCTGCGCTCTCGTCGACTGCAGTCGCCTTCGACTCCTTGTCCTCACTTGATACTTTGGGTGTTTCCATACTTTTTGCAGCGACTGGGGTAGGGTGGGGTCCTGTTGCTTCAGCCCTGACGGATCCACTACCAAACGTGCCTGTTATCGACCCCAAGACTTCATCTTCGTCGTCGGTGTGCTTGGTCGTGGGTGGCTGGGTCAAGAAACTCCCCGTTTCTGCGCTGGCTTCAACGAACGATTCTTCCTCAAACGATTCGTCAAACTCACTGTCATCCTTGGTCGTTTCCACCACCTCTTTTCGCTGCTCAAGTGGATTCGATTGCGCTTTGGGTTCCTCGGGTGCCGGCTCCGCCGCAGGGACGTGCTGCGGTGATTGTGTCGTGCAATCTTCATTCTCGTCGTCACAGCTGTCGTCTCGGCCATCCTCGTCGCCACTTTCATGGCCTTTCTCGTCCTTGTTTGCTTCTACTTTCTTTGGGCTCGAATTTATCGACGTCGATGTCATCCCGGCCGTCGGAGCCGTCGGTGGAGCTTCGTGGTCACTGCATGTGGCCAGGAGGTCACGCTGGCTCTGGAGCAATCGCTGCATGAGGCGGACGAGCTGGTCTTCGTTGACCAAACTCGGAGCGAAGAGCTCATGCTCCTTCTGAACAGTTGCAGCGACTTCGGACGGCGTTGCGTGGAGTGTTAAGTGCGGCAGCTCGACGACGGCCAGCTTGAGCTGTCGGGCGTCTCGAATGTCTTCGTACTCGAGTGCAAGCGTGGGAACCGGGCTATACTTCAAACCGAGGCGTTTGGGCACGACCCCCGCAACGACCATCGCCATGCAATCTTAATCCGCGACGTATTTTGAAGCGCCCAACTCGATGAAGCGAAACCCCCCTGGCCCACTCATCTCTGGTCTTTTGAAAGATCGGTTTCCCCCAACGGGGAGTGTAACGGCGTCGCCTTCGGTCTGAAACGGACAGTTTGGACGCCCGACAGGACATCGCCTGCACGTGCAGGTCCCATGGCCTTGACCTAGAATGAGCAGCAAAGGCGAGAAGAAGGAACTGGAGGTGCTGTGTCGATACGTGCCGCGCATTGTGTTGGCCCAATACGCGCACTCCCGAGCGGCCCTGACCGAACCCGCCACGCAATCCTTCACAGCCGTGATGGCGCTGTTTGACATTTCCGGCTTCTCCACCCTCGCGGACAGGTTGACGAAGGAGGAAAATGTCCGACCCGTCATGGTCTCTGAACCCACGAGGGTTTCGTTGAGCAATGGCAGCATCGCCAAATCGATCGATGTCAGCACATCTGCAAGCCATCGCAGGATCAGCCACCACGCCAGTGGCGGCCGCGACAGCATCCATCACCCATCGCAGCTGCGGTCCGAGACCGAGAAGCGAGGAAGCACGAGCACGTCGTTTTCCCTCAAGGAGAAGCGCCAGGGCGCCAACGCGAACGACGTCGGGTTGATGCGTACCGGCATGGCCATTGAGCAGCTCACGAAGACGCTCAACCAAACGCTTGGTACAGTTCGACCATGCTTTCCTCACCTGATCTCTTGCTGTCATAGCGCCCGTGATAGACATCATCACGCAATTCAATGGCGATATCATCAAGGTTGGTAGTGGAAATGCACCTCGTTATTTCACACGTGTTGATCTAGTTTGCGGGCGACGCCATGATTGTGATGTGGCAATGCGACCTGACAAAACACGAGGCCAGTGACTCGAGTTCAAGTGCAATGGTGGACCCAGGAGTACTGCTCTTCACGGCAATTTCATGCGCGTTGAAAGTGCTGAGCGTGCTTGAGACGAGCCAGGATCAAAAGCATACGAATTCGTCGCCCCCGACCTCAATCAGTGGCGGCCTTGGCGCCCTCAAGATGCATGTCGGGCTTGGCTTTAGCACGGTCACGGGGAACCACGTGGGAGGGCTCTTGAACCGGTGGGAGTTTTACGTGGCAGGGGGCGCAACAGGCCAAATGTCGATTGCCGAAGCCGACGCTCAAGCAGGCGAACTCGTTGTGTCGGCCGAAAGCTATCAAGCTCTCGTGGCGTCGGAAGTGCTGCAGCCCCTGCACATCCAGGCTGAAGCGCTCCCTTCTGGCAACTACCGCATTACGGACCTCCACAGCGACAGAGACGTCAAGTACACTTTGCCCACGCTCCAGCTCGGTCGGGACTTGATCCCGCTGGTCAAGTCGTACGTTCCAGGATGCATCGCGCTGTCCCTGGGCAAGGGAAAAATTGTGATCAACGGCATGCGATCCATCACAGCCGTATTTATCAAATTTACTGGCATCCTCGACATCGCGGATGCCACGCAGCAGCTCCACGAAGTCCATCGATGTCTGTGCGCGGTGCAGGACGCTGCGTACCGAGTCCATGGTACGTTTTCGTTGCCCCAGCGGTGTTTCCCTCTTCAATTCCTGAATCCACTTGCTTGGGCATTTTGTAGCGACGATTCGGCAATTCCTCATCGACGACAAGGGCGCCGTGGCAATCGTTGTCGTGGGCCTCCCCCCCTTTTATCACGAGAACAATGGTGCGCCTTCATCTCATGTAGCAATCGTGTCATCGTGATGGGGTAGCCCTGCACGGCATTCGCATGGCGCTGTATTTGAAAGAAAAAGGCGTTCAGGCGTCGATCGGGTACGATGCGCTGTGCATGGGACTTTTACACATGCACTTGTAGGATCACGTCCGGTCCAGCTTTTTGCGGCAGTATTGGCAGTGCGGTCCGCGCCGAGTATGCTGTAGTTGGGGACGTGATCAACTTAGCTGCGCGGCTCATGTCGATGGCCAAACCAGGCGAGATCCTGTGTGACGACGCCACGCATACGGCAACGTTGACACGGTTCGAATTCGGGAACGGGACCCACGTCATGGTCAAGGGCAAGAATGACTTCATTGAGGTATGGATCGTTTTCGCGTGCGACGATTTCATGACATGGCCCTAGGTGTTTCAAGTGTTCCAAGATGCAGTGGGGGCTACGTCAACAGAGGTGGCGCCGCCTGGAGATTTCTTCGTGCCGTCCGATGTGTACGACTTTCTCATCACGCGCATCCAAGACTTTGGAACGCGATCCCGAATGCCGGCGGTGGCGGACCTGTGCCAGAGCATTGTGCTCAAGGGGGCGTCGGGGGCCGGGAAAACGACGCTCCTCAGACATTTGGCCAATATTCACCCGAACGTGTACTACAGCTGCGGCGACTCGGTTGAACGCAACACGAAGCTGTTTGTGTGGCGCAAGATCATTGCAGGCATCGTGTTTAGCAAACACCACCCGCACCTCCAGCCCAGGCGCATCTCGGACACGTCACCCCAATCTGTTGCTGGATCGAGCAGTCGGCCGTCGTTTTTCCGCGCTGTGACGAAGTCGCCGGTCCAGATGCTGGAGGCGATGCAAAAGTCGTCACTCAAGACCCTTGGCCGAATCAACTCGGACGTCACGGTCGACGATGCGATCCTGACCAACAAACCGGACGAGGCGGACTTGAGTGTGTCCGAGTGTGGAAGCCACAGGAACGGCATGAGCGAAGCGGAAGAGTCGAGCAACGTGTATGTCAATCGGGATTTCAACTTTGGCGTGGGCCTCCAGTTTGTCCACGCAATTGTCGAGTCCGGCCGACTGGCCGCGGACCTCTTGCCGCTCTTGAACGTGTTCATCCCGCACTGCTTTCCTGAAACGAATCACTCGCTCGCCCTCGCCCAAAACGACGAACGGTTCATGCACGAAGTCACGCAGTTGGTGATGGTCATTCTGCGCGAAGCGAACGAGCGCCACCCGATCCTGATTGCGTGGGACGACTGCCAGTGGATCGACGCTGCGTCATGGGACCTCCTCGTCCAGGTCTTGACGCTGTCGCCCAACATCACGTGCATTGTCGGCGTTCGGCCAGACGCGCCGCCACCGCACGCCGAGTTCAAAAAGCTCGACCACTCCCCCCACACTTGTCGATTTGACCTGCGCAATCTCTCGCCCCGCGACACGTCGCTGTTTTTGAGTCACTTTTACGGAATCGCCATCATGAATTCGTACCTCCTCGAGTACGTTCACGGCCGCGCGAGGGGGAACCCCGGCAGCACGATTGCGCTCATGCAGCGACTACTCGAGCTCGAAACCATCTACATCGACCTCGAGCGCGGCGTGGTACACGTACTCAAGGACATCCATGACGTGGATTTGGAGATTTCACTCCAGACCCGGGCCAAGGTCATGCACCACTTTGACCACCTCAACTCGATGAGCCAACTCGCCATGCGCATCACGAGCGTCGCGATCGACTACATCCACTTTGACGCGCTCAACTACATGCTTCGCGCCGTGTTTGCCCTCGAGTACAACAATAGCTTCACCAACCACGACGACATCAACCACGACTTGCCCGTGTCGTTTTCGGACCAGAACGCATCGACGTTTGTGCAAGCGCTGCTCGGGATGTCCGTTGCCGAGACCCATGGCATCCTCTCGATCGACCACCACAACGAAATCATCCGATTCTTGTCGGAGGACATGCGCCTTGTGGTGTACAACGTGATGCTGCCATCCCAGCGGGAAGCCATCCATCGCGTGTTTGCGCTCTGGTTTGAGAACGAAGTGCCCGTCCATCGCATCCCGCGGTTCCAGCATTGTTACCACCTTGCGTACCACCTCTCCCGCACGCACATGTACAACCAAGCGATGCACTACTTCGCCAAAGGCGCGGAGGAAGCGCTGCTCCGCGGGGTGTCCGAGTTTGCCCTCATGTGCTTGACATCGGCTGGGTCCGTTCTCTTACTCATGGACACGAGCCACGGCCGCCTCGCGACCCCGCGGGGGCTTCGACGGTCATCCAGTTCGCGCTTGATGCACGACACCGACCCCGATGAAGTTGCGATCGAAGTGACCCTCCACCAGTGCAAGATCGAATTCCTCACAGGCCTCGTGATGGTTCAAAAGTCCGACTGGGCGACCGCCGTGGACCACTTCAATGCGGCAATCGCCATCCACGCCGAGTTGCGCGCTCAGCGTAAACAAAAATTGTGGCATCGCCCGGTCCGCCGCATCCGACGGTGGTGGGAGGAAGCGTCGCAGTTGTGGCGCGCGATGTATGGCGGAATCACCAAAGTCGCGCCATTGAGAGTGACGAAGAAGAACCACGGGATGCCGACTGAACCGTCGCTGGAAGCGCTGTGGGGCGAAGTCGGGTCGTATATGGTCGTGGCAACGCGCCTCAAAACCAAGATTCTTCGCGTCGAGCGGGAACGGGAGAGGACCAGCACAGCGATTCGACTCCAAGGACTCCGGTGCATCTCGAGCATCAAAGATGACTCGATTGCAAACTTGGAAAAAACGTTTGTCCTGGTCCCCAACGATCACTCGTCGGGCGGCAAGCTGCCCCGACGGTCTCACAAGAAGGGAAGCTCCAATGGCGGCATCGGGACGAGTTCCAGCGCTTCCGGCGTCGGCATGCGGCAACCGACGTTGAGGAATGGAAGCGACGGCGCTGTGTCCATACGCACGGGAAGTCTTGTCCATCAAGATCACGCTGACGCGGCGCCATCGAGGATAGAAAGCCAAAAGACGATTGCACCAGTTATTTAGCTTAGCCCGTCCAACAAACCCCATCGTCAGACTTCCTTGTGTGCATTCCGCTTGGGCGTTAGCGACATCGCGCGCTGCATCAGGGTCGGTGTGTGGTGGCTTCGCGTCGACAGCAGCAGCGAAGGACTGCGGACCGACCCCGGCGTCAACGCCTCATTCTCAAACGCGACGAGTTCGCGCTGCTCCTCTTGCTCTGGCTGCATCAGGTCCGACGCTTCGGCGGCGGCCTGGGCCTGGTCGGCTCTCGCTTGCCAATTCACACGGGCTAGCCCCCACGCCAACGCGACGACTTTGAACAGCTCGCCCATCGTGTCGGCAACCCAGAATCCATTGATGCCCCACGACAACGTGATCGGCAAGATGTAGCTCAATGGCACGTAAATACACCATGACGCAATGTTGTTGGCAATCAAGTTGACATCGGCCATCGATAGCGCGTTCATCGACGCTGTGAGAAGGAACCGCCCAAATGCAATCATGACGCACGCAATGAAAAATCCCAGCGACTTGCTGCACAGGTCCATGATCGCAGGGTCGTTGCTCCAGACGTGGAAGAGCGTGTTGCGGGCCAAGACCACGAGCACCAAGAGCGTTGTCGCGCTGGCCATGACGACGCGCGCGCCGAGTAGCAGCACCCGCTTGGCGGCGACAGGGTGGCCTTGCCCCAAGTACCTCGACATGCGAATCTGCGTCGAGATGGAAAATCCACTCACGCACGCATTGGCCACGCCGTAAATGCCGTTCAAAACAGACATCGTGGCGGCAATCTGCGGTCCCAACAGACCCGAGAACGCACTCGCGACCGCTGCCGAGGACCAGTCCACCACAGATGACATCCCCATGGGCACCGCCAGCGACAAAAACGTCGACATGCGTTCGCGCTTGACGCAGTCCCAAGTCCATCCGCCCCAGTAGTTCACGTGATACTTCTTCCACACAACAGTGTACAGCAAAAAGAGCGCGAGTTGCAGGTACGTGCTTGTGACGGTGGCAATCGGGGACCCGATGAACCCAAAACCGTGCCAACCCCACGCGCCGTATATAAACACTTGATTGAACACAATGTTGAGCACCATCGTGAGCCCGCTGCAAAACGTGGCCGGCATGATCACGCCCTGTGCCGCAAAGTACGACGCGCACGCATTGTAGACAAACTGCGGGATGAGTCCCAGCGCCATGACGCGGGCAAACGCCTGCCCGTACATGACAGTCTCTTCGTCATCCATCGTCAGACCAATCATGTGCCCGACAAACATATAGTACACCATGACAGGCACGCATGTGCAGATGGCAAACACAATGGCCGTTTGTAGCCAAATGCCGACCAGGATGTTGTTCTTGGCGCCGTATGCTTGGCCGCAGAGGGTCGGAATCGCTTGGATCGAGTACTGGATGAACGCAGAAGGTACACCCATCCACATGCTAGCAAGGGCAACTCCCGCGAGCTGCTTTGTTCCGATGTGGCCCTGGAATGCAGCGTCCGTGAGTGTCATTGCCTGGCGCACCATTTGCCGGAGAGACAATTGAATCGCCATGCTGCCCATCTCTTTGATCTCTTGCATCATGGGAATCATGGGCAACGGCGCCGTCACTGTGGCAGTCTTTTGGGTGCTACCATACATGTCCGTGCCGGCGCGATCCTCGGCATCTTTCTTCAGCAGCGCCGAACCTTCGTGCTTCTTGGCGGTCATTCCACTCGTCCAAACTGAAAATGCAACAACCAGCAAGTTGAAGCTGATGCTTGTCACGTTCTACTTGCAAATTGTATGCTGGAAACATACGCCCAACGACACTTGGCAAAAACGTCCCCTCGGTTGAAGAACCTTTGGTCAAATCTTCATTTAAAGATCAAACCAATCGATGGAGGTAGTCCTTGAACTGAGGGATACGGAAAGAGCCAATGGCAATCGAGGAAAATGACCAGGGAACTTCAACTCGACGCATCGCCACGACGACGAATGCTGACCACACACCCCGCCACGTGGAGATGTAGTATTTGCGGGGATGCGCACTCGCTGCATGCTAGCATGCACTGGTAATGCGATACCTGATAATCCTAGAGTCAATAATGGGCTTCGTTTGGCGCGAGGTCCATTCCCGTCACTCTTGCGAACTGCAGTTGGCTGACCGGTCGCCGATCCCCGTGGATCGTCGGTGCGGGTTACGTCCCGTCCAACTCGTTGGTGCTTCTCGGTGCTGTCTGCAGATTGGATGCGCTCGTAGACGTTATGATATGTGAGGACGTCTCTGCGATTGTTTGCAACAGGAGTGACTGACGGCAAAACTTGCGGACTGCTCGCCACCAGTTGTCATAACAACACAGCTTCATTTCCTTTCACCTTGCAAACGACGTGAAGCATTGGCTTAAACGGCAGGATTCGCCGCCGACCGCGAGCGCCCGATCGCTCGTCGCATGTCGTTGGGAGTCACGGGGGGTGTCATCGTCATGTTGATGGACGGGCTCTTGAAGGTTCGGGGAGTGAAGAGTAGCGCTTCGTTCTTGGCCGCATTCAACTCGCGATCTTCGTCCTCGTCGCCAAAGTCATTCGCGAGGGACGTTTCCGCGGCGATCTGGGCTTCGTTGGCGGCGGCGTGCCAATCTAGACTCGACATGTCATAGAGTAGAATGGCGGCTTTGAGGAGTTCGCCGAGCGCGTCCGCCCACCAAAAGCCCGAGAGGCCCCAGTTGGCGCGGATGGGCAGCACGTAGCTGAGCGGGACAAATACGAGCCAGGACGCAATGTTGTTGGCCACCAAGTTGAGATCGGCCTTGGACACAGCGTTCATGCATGCCGTGAGCAAGAATCGCCCAAAAGCAATTACGATGCACAGCGTAAACGCGACGATGGCGTCACTGCACATGGCCGACACAACGGGGTCGCTGCTCCAAATCGAAAAGAGCGATCGCTGCCACAGCACAACGCCGGCCAGCATCACGATGGCGGAAACAAACACAAGACCTGCTCCGATCCGGTAGACCCGCTTGGAGTTGCGGGCGCTGCCTTGACCCAAGTACCGCGACATTCGGATCTGGGTGGCCGTCGCGAACCCGCTCACAAATGCACTGACGACGCCAAAGAGACCGTTCAGAACGGCCTGGCACGCCGCAATGTTTGGGCCCAAGTATCCCGAGAACGCCCCGGCCACGGTGGCGGAGGCCCAGTCCACGACCGCTGACGCCCCCATTGGAATCGCGAGAGCCAAAAAGACATCGAGCCGATCCTTCTTGACACATTCCCACGTCCACCCGCCCCAACAAGGCTTGTGGTATTCCTTCCACACAATCGTATACAGGACGAACAGGACAAGTTGCAGCACCGTGCTCGCCATCGTGGCCAGCGGCGACCCAACGAAGCCGAGGCCGCTCCACCCCCCGACGCCGTGAATCAAAACTTGGTTGAACACAACGTTGAAGCCCATCGTAACAACACTGCATATCGTGGCAGGGATGACAATCCCTTGGGCAGCAAAGTACGCCGTCAACGCGCAATACACGTACTGCGGAATGAGCCCCAGGGCCATGACATGGGCAAATTCGCGGCCATACGCAACGGTTTCCACGTCGTCCATGGTGAGCCCGATCATGTTGCCAACATACATGTACCAGATCATGACGGGGATCGACCCGAGAACGGAAAACACGATCGCCGTTTGGAGCCAGATGCCGACAAGTTCGTGGTTGCCCGCGCCAAACGCTTGGGAACACAATGTCGAAATGGCTTGAATGGCAAACTGAACGAACGCCGACGGGACGCCCATCCACATGCTAGCAAGTGCGACGCCAGCGAGCTGCTTGGTCCCGATGTGACCCTGGAATGCTGCGTCCGTGATGGTCATCACCTGGCGCACCATTTGCCGCAACGAGATTTGAAGGGCCATGCTTGCCACATCAAGCGTTTCCTGGTCTAGTGGTACGATCTCATGGCGGCGGCGCGCGTGTCGTTGGTGGTGTGGGCCTCGGGCATGCTTTGCCTCGGTGGTCGGCGCTGGCTTGAGCAGACGGGACTTCTCCGCCGTCATGGCGAATCTGATGTGTGCAAAGTGAAAAAAAGTGATAGCATCCAATGGGGTGAGCATCCGTTTTGCATAATTTCAAAACAAACGCGAAACGTTTTTCGGCACTGCGTACGTAGCGTCATGTGGGCGGCAAGCTGGACGACCGACGACGGCGGTGGCATCGCAGTCTTTGACAGGAACAGAAGAAGGGGAGTGCAGCCTCTCGTGACAAGACGCATGGTGGGTCGCCGTACGCATAGAAAGGCGGTGCGAACCGTCGAGAAGGCGGGTCGAGTCACGGAGCGCGATCTTTCAGGTTAGTATGGATGGGGACGGATAAAAGTACGGTACGTCGGCCAAACAAAGGTGAGCGTGGAAGATGCACGCGGAAGTGACGGCAACATGTCCAGGCGCATGACGCAACGATACAGCCGACAAAACAGCGGTGCGATCGCCATGGGCCCTGTCGTAGCTGGAGGAAGCTGACAGAAACCAGGAGCGCGACGACACTGATGGCCTTTGGTGGATGTGTTCAACTAGATTGTGTCATTGTGGCGGCAAGCATGAACGAGCCAGTCGAGGTTGTGAGTTTCGAACGGAGCCGACATCAGTCGGGACATCGAAAACCAAGCGTTCGTCAGCAAGACGACGTGCAACTACTCCTCGACGGCAAGCGATCTCAAGGGCAAGAGTGATTGGGTTGGAGGTAGATGGATTTGTCACTCGTGTCTATACTGGTACCTCCGCGTTCAGCACCTCTATGTCACGTCCACATTCACGAGTCTGGTGCATGGATGGATTTGGCCAGTGTGGCCGACCAAGGCGAGTGGGAATGCGACCCCAAGCCTAGCGATGCAGATTCTACGGAGGCATCCGAAGTATGACCTGCAAACGCAATACTTCCATCAACCAACTCATTCCTGCACGAGTCAAAGGCAGCGCGATTGCAACACGCGATATGTGTTATCGTCACGGCAGGAGGGCAGCCCGTGCTTGGGTGGAGTTGGCGCCTGCTCGACGTGCAGTTCCGAGGGCATCGTCACATCTGGATGCGCCGGGTATTGGCCGTCGATGCGGTCAAGCACGAGCATGGGTGTTACCTTCATCGACACGCCATTGCGGCGACTCATCACGGCTTTCAAGCATGACCGACGCAGCTGGCAGAATGGCAACGTCCGATCACACCTCATATCACGCAATCCCGGGCCATTCGAATGCACCCAGATAGTCTCTGGCATGGCGGTCCAACGCCCAAGAATACCTCACCTCCTGCGATGTTGACGCTGTTGCAGAGGATGATGTATGGGATCATTTGCGTGGCAAGGCTTTTGTTCTGTATCAACGAATTGGTGCATGTTCCCTGTCTCGCCATGACGGTGACGTGCCTCTCGAACGAAAGTATTTACCGCGCCTTTGAGAATCCCTGGTTTGTGCCATGACAAAGTGACACAAGTGGAAACGCAAGCTCGGTTGCACGTATGCATCCTTCGTTATGTACGATCCTAAGGTATTCCGGTGACGTGCTTCTCAAAGGAATGTATTTACCGCGCCTTTGAGGAATCCCTGGTTTGTGCCATGACAAAGTGACACAAGTGGAAACGCAAGCCCGTTTGCACGTCTGCATCCTTCGTTATGTACGATCCTAAGGTATTCAACTACACTCTGGCCGAGTCCTTCTCTGCTTGCGGCGCGGGCGGCAGTCGCGAGTCGTCTTGGCTCTCGGTACTCTTTTGCTGGGACAGTTTCCGTCGGCTGCTCCCACGAAAGCTTCGACGAGCGCTACGATGCTTGCCCAGGGGTTTCGTCTTCGAATAGCCATATCATGCTCTATACCATGACCGCGCCAAACGCACCTCAAGCAAATTCACAAACTCGTTGTAGTTGACGGCACCATCCTTGTTCACGTCCGCCGTCCGAATCATTTCTTTCACGGAGGCTTCGTCAAAATCGCAGCCCAACACTCCTACAAGCCTTGGTCAATAATACACTCATGGAAAGCATCCTCGTGGCAACGACGTACGGCCGAGCGAAGCTTCGGTGATGCCGCCCTTGGTCTCGTCGGGAGAGAACAACCCGTAGGCCTTGCGGAGCACCTTTTCGCTTTGGAGGTTCACGGTCATCGTGGCCGACACAAACTCCAAAAAGTTGACTTGGTTCGAGTTCTCAATGTCCAAGCTACCGCAAGTAAAGTCAATCGGGGTGACTGAGCGACGCCAGACCTCTGGAAGATCTTTTGGAAGTCGACGGTCGGGTACTGGTCGGTCAGGGAAGCTTGTTCCAAGTCGAGCAGGGTCAGCACGCCGTTGTGCAATACGTTCAGTTGGTCGAATGCTTTTCGAATCGCGGTCGTATCGATCGACGGCGAACAAAATGCCACCGCCAACAACGCTACACAAAATCAGCATGTCGCCAGGCAACGTGTCGCAACTCACCAGCTCGCTTCATGCGGCTAAAGGACGCATATTCCGATAGCTGGGTGATAATCCGGTCGATGCTATGCCACATGTCAGCACCAGAACACCCACGCAGAAGACTCGACAAATATACTCCTGGGTCGGAAGGTTGTTGGTCTTGGCGCTGGCAATCCAAGGATGTCGCAACACCTGCAGCGACGAGTATCGTTCGGCCACGGTGGGCTAGACAGCGCAACAATTGTGAATGCCATTCGATGACAGTCGACTCGTACGTTGAGGAGCTTCTTGATCAGACTTTTCGCCTCCAGCGACACGTCTTTCCACACTTCGTCTTCAAACGACACCTGCTCTCACTTGAGACCCCGCGGCATCGAGAAATAGCAATTTGTACTTTGGCGGCGAAAATGCTCTCGATCAATTCTTCTTCCGTGTTCCCGTGGAACGGCATCGAGTTGCTCAGGAGCATGTACTGCACACACACACCATTCCCTTCATTGATTTGATGTCATGTGGTGGTCGATCTCACCATGACCACGCCCAAACTCCACATATCGCATGCCTACCAAATCCAACTCTCCATCAGTCTTCCACACCTCTAGGAGCGTTGAATCGTTGTCGTACTTGAGTATATTGGCCTTCCAAAAACTCGGGCTACGCAGCAATATTCCATGCAACAGGTCATCATCCATGAATTCCGGCGTGGTGAGAGATGACCTTACCGCCATGTACACCACAGAACCGAGCACAGTTTGCATCAAGACCCCATTGCGAAACAGCGTGCTAGCTCCGAAACTACCGTCGCCAGTTCGGTGAAAAGACTCGCGGAAGAGAGAGCCACGTACTCGCACAGCTTGACATCGGACCCGTCTTGGTCAGTCTCGTACAAAATGTTCTCGAGCTTGATGTCCCGGTGGCAAATGTTCTTCAAGTGCAAATAGTAGATGCTCGACGAGAGTTTGCGCACGATTTCCTTGGCCTGATCTTCCGGAAACGCTTGCTTCCGCGTCTTCACCGCGTTCAGCATGTGGCCGCCCGTACACAGCTCCATGATCATGTGGATGTGCGTCGCTGACTCGTATGTCTCAACCAACCGCACGATATTGGGATGCTGGAGTCCTCGCCATAGGTTGATTTCGTTGCGAAGCACGGAGAGCTTGGCGTTTGGTCCAATCGTGATCTCCTACCCAAGACAACACTTGAATCATCTACAGAAGTTCGTGTCGCGCGTACTTTCATCGCATACTGGTCGCCCGTCGCGATGTTCTGTACAAGGTTCACGACCCCGAACGCCCCTGTCCCAAGCTCCCGAATGACCTTGTAGTACGCAAACACGTCCACGCCTTGATGATGCTGCGACAAATTCCGCAGAAACGTGTTGGGTAAGCCTCCTGAAGCATCGGCCGATTGCATGCAGCCCATGATGCCGAGGTTGAGAGATTGTGCCACCGACGCGATGGAGGTGCCGACAACGATGGCGTGAAATATGTGACAGATGTTGCGCGGGTCGCCGAAACGTTTCCGAATGGTGCCAGGAATTTGGATGCATTGAAGTTTGCTATAGTATGTCAGGTGTCTTAAAATTCGTTTCAATTTACCATCTGATAAAGTACCTTGAAGCTAAATTTACCCTCCGACCAATCCGCCAACAACGTGGCGTTGGTTGATCCAACGCAAATGAAAGTTACATGTCAGTTTATAGGAAGCACCAACGATCATGTCCATCATGAGAACACAAGAGAGAAGCAGTCGAGGAGACCTATGAGTGATCTCGACAGAGCGCATTCCTACCACCAGAACGGGTGGTATGTAGTTAGTGGCGGAGACATCGAAATAATGCGTTTGCAAGAAATGGTCCACAGCAACTGTAGCTAACTTGACCAAATAGAGCTTGGTATTTAGTGTGTATCACACTACTTACAAACACATTTGATACTACACTATTTTAAGTTATACACTATTGGACAGATACTGTGACAACGAGGGTTGAACGAACGATGCAAGAGGGATGACGTCACGGAGCCTTGCCAAATCCCTACATTCTATAATTAGTGTGTATCTTCACATTAAATAGGAAAACAAGTTGAGTGGATTCGTATACTTTTTAGGGTTTCCAACCGGCGTAATATTTTGAGCGATAATCTACATTGCGTAACCAGAAGTGTTCATTCACGTTGAACGTCATCACATCGTTTCACATGGATCATTGTTGGAATAACTTTCTAGATATTTTGACAAGAAATGTTCCTTACGTGTAAAGAAGTCCCACTTTAAGACTGTGTTAGCCTTCACGGTGCATACCCTCCGAAATTCCTTTCGTGCCAACCATTTAAACTGCAACCTCTCTACATTGCCCACACAAAACGTGTCATCATTACTGAAATCTCAATTTGAATCATCAATAAACATCCTGGCCAAGTGTTCAAAATTCATCGATAAACGTCCTGGCTTAACGTACAACAACACGATTAATCTTGTCAACAATATCTGTATTGTAGTCTTGCGATCCCAACCAAATACACGCCGTACTGGCCAGAAAAATGTGGTTCGATAGAATGAAAACAAGCTGTGATGGCACAAGCCGGTTGCACAATGACTCGACGAATTATTGGTTTTGTTTTAGGTGGGCCAAACTTTCGTGTTCGTGATCCCTCTGCAAATCCATACATTCATTTATACAGGTACTGGATTTCCAAGTAGAGCCAAGTTGCCCATGCGCTTCACTGTTGTTCTTTCGCCGCTTCGTCATGGCGATAGCTCCGCGGCATTACACGACCAACGAGGACCCAGACGCGGCTTCATGGGTGAAAGGAGGTGATACGAGCAGGTTCATTCACAAGGAGTGCGCAGTGAACCCCATGTTTAAGTCCGAATACATCAGGTAGGCTCCATCTACAAATGTGCATTGTTGGAGTCGGCGCACTGAGGGCCCGTTGTTACACGCAGAAACAATCGCTCGAGCGGCCACAAGGTACTCTGAATGCACCTTCATGCTGAGTTATCGACAGGGTGTGTACTAATCTGAGCTCTAATTTCTGTGCGTGCTTTAGAACGTCAGGTACTGTGTGATATACAAGTTGTGAATAACATGCCGTGTTGTCACCATCTTTTGCAGGTGTTTCCCACATTGTTGTGGCTCCCACCGTGAAAGTACCTTTTGCGGATCCTCCATTACCGTCCAATGCAGCGATCATCCTGTCGTCGTGTACGGACGCTTTGAAGAAGCTGGTGACAACAATCACACGAGTCCCCATGTCAGCATTGGCACTGTCCTCAAACTTTCCGACATACAAAGCGACGAAAAGACGGCATCCAGTCCGTTTGGCATGTGGATGGTCGGGACTTCTGTCGGCAACCAATGCTACGAAATCAACAAGAGCAAGTTGTCGTGGCACTACGGCTGGGTGTCGTCGCGCTTCAACAGCAAGACGCTGCATCGGTTCCAGGTTTGCACGAGCAACTTTCAGACGAATAAATTTAAATTGGGGCATCCCTTTAGGTGTATGTGTTCCAGCACGTGTCCTCACAGCAAATCAAGTGCGTCTCCATGATGGCGTCGCCGACATTTTCTCTCTGCTCGAGCCGAAAGACTCGGAAGAAGGCGGCGACAAGTGCCCCTGTCACCCTCAAGCTTGAACAGCCGAAATCCGAGCCCATGATCGAACAAACGCCTCCCGACAAAGCTAAACAGCCACCACCGCCTCAGCCTGACTCGGCTCGGACGATCCCCCCCCCAATCAAAATTGAAATGCCGTCCTTTGAGTCGTTCCTTCGAAATGAGCCACAAATTACACGGCCACGGACGTTTCCAGGCATTGAACAGAACGCCCCCAAGAGATTAAAACCCACATCATCAACCGACGACCTGACGTTGCGACCGACCCTCAACGCTACCGGACCTCCGTCGCCCACTCCCTCGAGCAGTACGACCACATTTCGTTCACTCAACCATCAAAATGGGACGCGAGTAATGCATTGGCGTTGTAGCTTTCAGTTTTTCGAGCTTCATGAACCCTTTTCCCCACCACAATGCCCCATCCTCGCCCGTTCCGTCAACCACAAATTCGTGTGGTGCGTGCTTCGTTCCATTCGACACCTCATGACGTACTTGCTCGTTGTGCAGCGTACAGTTTTTCCAGTTTTATTCGCGGATGCAACGACCGGCCGTCATCCCCCGTCCCGTCCTTGGCCCCTTCCAGTACGAGCCCCCGTTCCATCCTGCCTCGACCAATTTCTAGCTGAATGCTTGACTGTGGAAATGTAGCCTTTAGCTTTTCCAGTTTTCTCCCACCGAAAACCTGTGCGGGGCGCACCCTCACATGCCCGGGGTCGCCCAAGACAGCGCCAGGGTCTCCAGTCCCATCGTCCATGCCGTCTGGTGGTACTCATGACGTTCCACACTATTGCTTCATCGACATGCGATAGTGGTAGCGTTGTTCTCGGACCTCATCAAGGACGACTACTGCCGCAAAGCCAAAGAACCCAAGAAACGCGTGTCCCGTTACGACTACATCGATCGCGCCGTGTGCTTGAGCCAAATTCATGCCCTCGCGTCGTCCATCATTTCGTACGCTTGGGAAGACGGTGCGTGGGACAACTTGGCCGAGTCCACGACGCCGCTCCACGGGTTCATCATTCGCACGGGGGAGTGGGAATCGATTTCGATCTATGAGTGCCGACCGCGGACACACAAAACAGACGAGTCGTATGACCAGGTGCTGACGTTTTGCATGAATGCAATGCGCCATTGCATTCGCACGGGCATGATTGCGCGGCTTCGGGCGTTTCTCCATTCGCACGCGTCGTCAATCTTCAAACCAGAGCTGCTGGACCAAGCGTACGCGGACTTTATTGTGTTTTTCGAACAAGAAATCGAAAGCTACGTCTTCCCAAGGAAACACATGCAATGCGCGGCATTTCTCGCGTACTTGCGCCACAACTTGCCACTCGAATTGGTGTCACAGCTAGGTAAGACCGTTCCTCCCGTGGTTTTGTGCTCACCATGATGGCTGCTGCGGCTCGCAGACAAACCATCCGAAGAATCGGCCGACAATGAACCCCTCGGGTATTTCGACTTGGTCACACAACTGCGCCAGGTGTACCAATTCGTCAAGTCGGAAGAACAGCCTGTCGACACCCTGCCTACCTTTGTCAGTCGCACGTGCGTGACAGGGCGTTGGCGGCGGCTGCAACCTCCGAATCAGTCAGGGGCATCGTGGCTCTTTCGTATTTTGGGCTCGTTCATGCTCTCGCATTGGACCCTGGTGGAAACCCCGTCCGAATTGCTGGTACATCGCGCCTCGTGTCGTGCGATCGTGATCAAACTCTTGTAGATGAAATTCGACCAAAGCCTTATTCCAACTTTGACGCCGTACTTGCTGAATGGTGACCCGATGTTTCTATCGTTTTCTCCCATCGGGATGAGCACGGGCGGCATGCAAGGGCGAGCTATGGCTGGTGAGTCCACCGTCAAGCGAACACATGTGAACGACGCGGATGCGTCCGTAGGGTACAAGGCCTGGCGCAACGATCGCGACCAAATTGTCATTCAGTGGCACAACTGGCCTCGCGGGAAGAACGGCATCCGGAGACGGTTCTCGCGAACCCTCTACCGTTCCGACACGGACCCGGACGTGCTGTGCTCGCACACTGTGGTCGAGGTAATCGATTCCCACCCCTCAACATCTCTCGCCGTCGTTGTCAAAACTTGAGGGCGTGTAGGAAACGTTTACGAGCGAAGAAAGCTTGAAGACGTTTTCGGAGATGAATTTGTCCGAGCGCATCAACTTTCCAGGCGAGTGGCGGGTCATCCTGGAAGAAGACTCGACGTTTGTGCGCATTAAGGACTGAGTTGTATGCTATTTGGAAACTGGCAAGTCCCACGCGGTCGCATCTCGGTCTGCGCGCTGTTGTAACTTCAAAAAATACCGTGTGCGTTCGGGCGGGCTGTACGTCGACTTGTTGTCTTCGAGCTGCTGACACTTGAGTCGCTCCGTTGCCGTGTACACATCTTGGCTGTGCCGCAACTCGGCAATTCGACGTTGCCGCATTGCATGCACCATAGCCCGAGCAGCCTTATCGCTACCGCCGATGCTGGACGTCGTTGGCGACGGCCCAAATCTACAGCAATCCAACACATATTAAATGTGACGCCCGACATGACCGACGATCCGAAACGTACTGGTTCGATTCGACGTGAAATCTTTCGCTCGCATCAGCTTGGCACGCGTTTAGCTTGCACGATGGTCCGCTACAGCCCCAAAACTTCATGACGCGCCAGGATTCTTCGAACGGCATCGTACATGATCAAGAATCGAGTGTCGAAGGCCGGTGTGCGGCCTCGTCGGGTCGGTGCACGCACTTTTCTGTTCGAATGGGTCACCATGCACAGCATTTTCAAGTTGATGAACACACCGTCGCAGTTGATCAAAGTTGAAGGAAGTTTTTCGTTTCGGCACTGATTCGTCTTCTGCCCAGCTACAGCCCACACAACATCCATGGACATGCCGTGAAGAGATCGACCAAGAATGGCCCCCAGCACTTACCTCGTCAGCAGGGGCATGCGACAAAGGTGGTTCTGCACCATCTTTTCGCACGAGTTCAAGTGCGCTGCCAGTTCCTGAAACGACACGAGACCGTTCTTGTCTCTGTCGACGTCCGTCATGAGATGGTGGAACTCTTGGTCGGTCAAGTGGATGCCTTTGTGTTTGAGCTAGATCGTGTGTTGGTGCCGCGGGCGCTTGGTGTTCGTACCCCTTGGCGAAACTCGGCATACGACAGCACGCCGCTCTCGTCTTCGTCCATTTCCTTGAACACATCCGCAATGCGTGTCTTGTACGCTATCGAAGTCATTTGAACCGGGAATGGCTTGCTCTTGGTCGAGATCATACGCTTGAGTTTTTGGAAAACCCGCTCGGCCACTTGGACAGCCCCTTCTTCCATCGCTTCACGTACCTCGGCGGCTTTTCGGACTGCGATCGTTGGATGGGATGGCTGTGTTGTCGAGATTTTCACATGGGATTTGAGCGTCCGATTGCGTTCGACGACGACTGAGCGGTCGTGGTCGTCCACCTGCGGACCAGTCACGAATGCGTTGAATTCGGCAAAGTCCATCGCGCCGTCCTTGTCGACGTCATAACTACGATACCCCACCATGACCATTGCATCGTGCGCAACGCAGTGTTCGGTACGTGTGAACGAGGTCCTGGATCACTTGAGGATGGACAGACATGTGTAGCTTGCGCAAGTTGCGCTCGAGCTAACACACTAGTGAGGGAGGGTGTTCGTCAGAGACATGCACCATGGCAGGCGTCAAGTGGCCAGCTTTAGCGTCGTCCCACGCACGAAAGATCTTTCCGAGCGACTCCTTCTACGATCGTAGAGTTTTGCATGTACAGCGCGCCACGTGCTCGTACGTCGTATCTGCTGCGCAAGGTCGAAATGACGCTTTTGATTGTGGATCTTGGCAGCGTCGAACTTGCTTGGAGGTTGCCTTCGGTCACTTGCATCGGTGCTGGCTCCGTTTCACAGCTCAACCGGCAAAAGTCGGTCAAGGCTACAGCTCTATCCCCATGGACTGAGGACATGAATCTCCCTCCAAGACACGGCTCACACCTCGTGGTTGGGTCCAACACGCACTGGAGCACTTGGTCCGTCGCAGTCGGCCCCAACGACGTTGCCCACCCCATGCTCGTAAACATATCGCGACACTCTTGCTCCGACACGACGCCATCTCGATCTGTGTCCCACGTCAAGAAGGCAGACCGAAGGCATTTTGACGGATCAGCCGAAAGCAGGACGCGGAATGCCCGAAGAGCCGCGTCATTTTCACTACGCCAGTCGAGCATGACCTTGTGAAAATAACAACAGTTGCAGAAAAACCTGGGCTGCTGCACGAGTTGTGCTGGCGGTGTGGACGAACAAGGCATCGCCTGCCGTCGCCCGAGGGACTGGTTGTTGCCCACAGTGTGTGGCCGATTGATCACATGGCGCGGTGTCAATGACGGCTTCACACCAAATAATCAGTTCATGCAGTCATGCATGTCGGCTGACTTACTTTAGATCCAGGACGTTGAGGTGCCATGGGTGCATTGGATGGAGTTGAGGCCCTGTGGGCCGTAAGAGTGCTTTCCTCCGCATGTGGTGCCTGCCATGTCGTTGATGATCACGAAATGCAGTGGTGGGACCCAGCAACGTCTACCTTCATGTGCTCTTGGCTGACGGAAGCAGCTCTAAGTGGGAAGCATCGATAAAATTACGAATGCTATCGCAACGGCTTACTCGGGAGAATGAGACAACGGCATCTGAGAGTGTTTACGTGGCGCTGCAGTGGTCGGTCGGAGACATCGCGGAGACGAAAGTCGAGGATAGATGAGATGGTGCGTTGTGTGCACTCGATTGCTGCTGCCCGTGTCGTGGACGCGGACCTTGAACTTGGTCGCCATGGTTACACCAACATCGATCTCAATGCTGCTCAACTCGACTCAAAACGCTCCACCGCTCTATTTTAATCGTTCTTGACTGAAATCGTCAGGTCAGCATCGATGCAACCTCTATTACGCGTCAACGTCGTGGGATATTGCGTCAATTGCCGCGGCAAAGGTGGCACACGTCAAGCCCGTGAGAAGGGATGTCCGGAGGGGCAGGGCCATTCGAGTCTGAGGATTCTGTGTGAGGAGCAAGCCAGCGGCAAAACCTCCGAGAAAGGTGTTTAGAGGATCCTTTCGCCCGCGCAGCATCTCGGATGCACAGGAAACGCCGCCAAAAGTGCCGAGAAACATCGTGAACGCAGCGCAGTTCTTGCCAACAGATGATAGGAGGAAGCACGAGTTGAACGGCGCTTTGCCCGACCGCACGAGGCCAAGATGCTCATAGACATCGATCGAAACTGTCCACAGCGCGCCGGTGATCACGCCGCGATACACGAGCTGGGCGAGCCTGGCGTCGCACTTGCCTGTTTGAGACATCAAATGAGCGTTGGTGAGGGAAATCTCAACTTCT